AACTGCATAATATTCATACATCAGAAGAGGTGAAAAGGTTGCGATCCGCATACAAACCGGCTTTGTTTTTCAAGCCAGGGGCGCATAGATCGAAAAGACCCAACATTTTTGTTAATGTAGAGATCAATTAGAGTTCAGTTCTGCAAAAAAAAGAGCCAGTGTGGTTTAATCTGCCATACTGTGATTTATATGTTAACCCGCACACTCTTGCTCATTAGTAAACATTGCCAGAATATTGAGAGGCGGCACATAATGCAAAGCAAAGGGTGTTTCCTAATAAATAAGGTGCTGATTGGGATGGATCCGTTAGAGGAGCAGATCACAGATCACTCAGCGCAGAGGTTTACACAGCTGTCATTAATTCACCCCGCGACCCTCATTACATCTGCTGGAAGCATCAGGAAAGCGCTAGAGCCAAACCACTGCTTAACAATTTAGCTGTGCGGCAGAAATATTTAATAGTATTATTTAAGTCTTATTAAGGGTTATAAACAAGCAAACAATTAAATGTGAATTATACATATTACACTGAAAAAAAATGTTCATTCATCCAATTAAAAAATTTAGGTAGATTCACATCTATATTTTTTAACTTGAGCCAATGAAGAATAAATAACTTGCCCTAACGGTATTAGTGTATTCACATTGAATTATATACTTCTATACAGATTTGATTAAAAAGCAACGGTGATACAAAACAATGGGTGGAAATAATTTATTTGGATAATATTTAATAAATGTTTTTCTTAATTTTTCTTAAATGTTTACTAGTAATCATGAAAATTATTGTTTTCCCCATTTTTAAAATACATTTGTATGAGTGATAAATTATTTATTTAGCACTCGAACAAATAAATAACATTTTATTTATTATTAATTTAGTAAAAAATTATAATTTCCAGACAAGTAGATAAACCACTACTTAACCATTTAGCTGTGCTAAATAAATATTGATTTTATTTATTTCTTGGCATTGTTTAATTTTTATTAATGGGTTTTTATTACTTAAATTTTATAGATTAATATTTATTTATTTATCCATTTATTTTCAACTAGTAAAAATAAAGACATTTATTTGATCATTTTAAGTCTTACTAATTCCTGTTTTCACCATTTATTAAAAAAAAATTGATTAATAATTTTGAGTGATTAATAATTTAACACCCAAATAACATTACATTAAAGAACATTTTATTTATAATTTATTCTGTAAAAATAACTTGAAAACAAATAAGTGCTTGCTTAAAAACAACTAAAAGGTGAGATTAACACAATAAAAATAATAATAATAAAAAACTTGGAATACAAAGCCCTTAAAAGCTGGAAAATGTGTTGACTGCCTAATAAAACATGGTAGTAAATTCCAGAGTTTGGAAGCATGAAGTAGATGTAATAAAGACAAATAAGAAGGTTTTCAGTTTATGGCTGTGCTAGGTGATGAAAACAAGACCATCAAATCTATTAAACACAAGCTGATTGAATCCCAGGCATGTGTTCGGGTCTTTCGACTCGCTTTAATGGAATTTCCAAGGGCTCCAAACTGGGTCAAAGGTCACCTGTCCTGCTGCTGCTTTGGGTCGGGCGAGACCACTGATGCTGATGGATGAGCCCTTACGCAACAGTGAAAAGTTCACTTCACCGAAGCATTTGTGTGGTTTGTGTAGCATCGCTTCTTACATCTTAAATTAAAGTGTCTCTGCCACGTCCCAGAAATAACACAAAGGTCTGAAATACGGTATGCTTCTGTTTAAATATAACCGGCTCTGAAGCTGCTGTACTTGTGAAACGCTGATCTCTCTCTCAGGTAGTATTTTTAATGCTGCTGGAGTGTTGATCGTCTCAACAACGGAAAAACAGACACCGTGTCCGGAGAAGATGCAGTATTGGGAGAAACGAATAGCATTTGAATTTAGTGGCTTTTTCTGTCTGTTTTCAGATCTGAACTTTGACCCTCATGCATCATGTTCAAAGCAGTATTGATTAGAGAAAGATCATTATGTCTGTCTGTAAAGGGGGTTCAAGCCTTTAATTACAGCAGCGGACACATGGAAACGTGTTGTGGTGTGAAGAGACACTGCTGGGTGTGAACGGATCAGCTGGCTGGTTTTAGCAGTTAGGTCACAGTATTATCTAGACTTTACAGCGTTGTTAACCCTGTTAAACTCTAAATCAGCTTAAATGGTGTCAATCCTCAGCGTTATTCCTTGGAGAGCACACAAATGCATTTACAACACTCAGTGTTCTTTACAATAAAATATTAATACAAAAATTATTACATTTTAATGAAATGATAGAGAATAATAATAAAACGGTTTAATATATAAAACAGTATCATATTTAAATGTGCAATTTTAAAAAGTTAATACAAAAAAATCAGTTGAATAATAATAATGATAAACTGTGTATTTAAAAAAATATATTTTAAACTATTTGCAATATGTATTGTGTAAACAAGCGGCCATTTATTTTCAGCATCATTTTCATTTACTAGCATTAAATCGTTTGTATTAAAATATTTGTAAATTTTTAAATATAAATACAATAATAAAATCATTAATTTATAATAATACTATAATAACAAACAGAATATTGAATAAGAATAGTGTTAAGTTTATTAAACAATTGTATTACATATCTGAATTTTGTGCCATCATGTTGCTAAATTTAATACAGTAATAAAATATTTAATTTGATCTATATAATAAATATATAAATATATAATAAATAAATTGTATGATATTAATGAATAATAATAGTGTTAGTAATGTTATTAAATTCAATTATTGTATGATATATCTGCATTTTATATGCAACGTTGCTACATATTTTAAAAAGTTAATTAAAAAAATAAATAACATTGTATTTTTAATTTAATTAATTATTCTTAGTAAATAACAACAACAATAATAGGAATAATAATTTGGATAATATTAAGTCATAATAATAGTGTTATTCATTTTATTACATTAAATGATTGTATTATATATCTGCATTTTATTTGCCATGTTTCTCTCTAGATATTGGTTAACCTTTAGTCAAACGGTTTACACACTGCTAATGCAAGCGCACAGATAAAATACACTCTTAATAGGTCAAATGTTCAAAAACTCATCTAAAGGAAGAGCCTGTTTTATAGGTTTTGGAAAAACATGTTGGGAGATTGGAAATTAGGCACAAGTGAACTTTCATTACCTACATGTTTTAGGGGATGAGACGCATTTAACAGGGCAAGAACAATTTTATAGTACGTGTTTTAAAGCTCTTCTGAAATTAAAAGCAGCTTAACATACCAAATGTGATATTATTAGTAGGTGCTTGGAGATTAAATGGAGTTACTATCGTATGTTACCAATAGTTTTGCGATGCACTCAGTTTCTCAAGCTAATGTGAAGGAGTGTAGGTGAACCATGTGGAGTTCAACATGTGTAACTCATTCCCTGTTTTTCCGTCCTCAGATCTTCCGGCGTTCTCTGGAATGTGGCTGAGTCCCCCCCCCCCACGAGGCCTGGGAATGCCGGGGGAGGGGAGACGCTTTCCTCCTTCACATTCACATGGACCTCGCGCTGGAAAGCAAGCCTTAGGTCAGTCTGGTGGGTAACTATGGCAACCGGAGCCCGTCCCAGCACACCGCAGTCCTGACGGAGAGATGCAGAAAGCGTTGTGAACACATGTGTACATAAACTTACTAGGTATAACTCTTTAAAACAGGTTAATTTTAGCCTGAGGTTCCACGCTTCAGCATCTCGCTCACTCACATGGATCCTGCGCAGTCATAAATTAAGCAATAATTAACTCTTGCCTCTGGTTACTCACTTTAGCGCATGAAACTGGGCTCATTGTGTTCTTAGTAGACTTGGGTGACCTTTGAAAGAGGAAATGCACCCAAAATTGTAGAATAACTAGTTAGTTTTTTTTTTTTATTGAATATTTTATTTCACAAGAATATTCAAAACACTTCTCTGATTAGCACTGTATTCTTGTTATAAAAGTACTAGACAAATAGCCAGGCTGGGCTAATAGACGAGTTTGGGTGGTATTTCACCCCCAAATGATAAGAAATTAAGTCTGTTTTTAAATGGGTTGCATTGTGATATTATTTTCAAGCCAATTAAAGCAGATTCTCATTACCGTAATGCAAAAAAGTCATTACCTTCTTGAAAAAAGAACAAGAATGTAATTTTTAAAATGGTTAAGTATTAAGTATTTTAGCATGCATATTTTAATTGAAACTACCTAAAATAAATACTTAAAAATCCTAGACAAATTACGGTAATGAGGAAAACGCTCTTAATTGTTACGAAAATAATGTCAAAATGTGAAAAAAAGAAACAAATAAGAAATTATATTTTGCATAAAGAAAATGAAGCCTAGTTTTAAATAGTTTGCATCGTGACATTATTTTCAGGGCCATTAAAGCACATTTCCTCCCTAAATTCTCATTACCGTAATGCAAAAAATCATTACCATAATGGCAAAGAACAGGAATGTATTTCTTATTATGTAAAGTTATATGCAGATTTTAATTTTAAAAACCAAAAATAAATACTTAATCCTGGACAAATTATGGCAATGAGGAAAATACCCTTACTTATCAGCAAAATAATGTCACAATGCGAAAAAAGAAGAAAGAAATAAGAAATTACATTTCGCATAAAGAAAATGAAGCCTGGTTTTAGATTGTTTGCATTTTGGATTTATTTTCAGGGCAATTAAAGCACATTTGTCCCCCACATTCTCATTACTGTAATACAAAAAAGTCATTACCATAATGAAAAAAAATTCAAGAATATACATTGTGTATTTAAATTTTAAAAAAAAACATGGTAATGAAGTAAAATGTTCTTAGTTGTCAAGAAAAATTCACAATGCAAAAAAAGAAAAACAAATAAGAAATTATATTTTGCATAAAGACAATGAAGAATATTTTAGATGGTTTAGATTGCATTTTTTCAAGGCAATTAAAGCAGATTTTCCTCCCAAATTCTCATTACTGTAGTGCAAAAAAGTGGTTACCACAATAGAAAAAAATCAAGAATATATTATTCAAATTGTATATATATTATAATGGTATTTATCCTAAAATAGGCTTCATTTTCTTTCTACAAAATATTACTTGTCACTCAACTGTAGGATAACGTGTAGTTTACAATGTGAATGACATTCGCTTAGTTTTTAAGGTGGTTAAACTACTAAAGCTGTGGATTCCTTCTTAATGGTTTTGTGCCAAACCTTCAATAAACTGTTTTCAAAGTGTACGAAAGCCTAACAAACTTCTTAAATGATGTTGCCGTACATGTAACCTTGATTATGTTCTATTATTGTATGTACATTTGTGAAGTATATTGTATTTTCTTAAGTAGATTTTGCACATTGTGTCCTTCTCACTGTTGAACGGTCATCTACACTCATAAGGGTGTTTTTCTTAAACGTTATTAGAATGTGTTGCCTGAAGCCAAAGAAAGCAGCACAGAGAGTGACATGTTACCAGCTAAATGTTGCGTTATTGTGAAATGTTTGTTTCTTTGTGTTGTGAAATGTCTTCATTTGTGCATATATTTTTGATATCACTGATTCTTTTTCTGTTTTTTGGACATTTAACACCAAATATTATTGTTTCTAACTTCTGTCAGTCATACAGTAGGGTGTATTAAAGACTTTTTTAATAAAATGTCTGAAAATGCTAAGCACTTGTTCTTTTGTTTTGTAGAGCGAGGATTGGATTAGCGGATTAGCATGACTAGGATCCACTGAGTGACAAGGAATGTCTCACACCTTTCTTAACTTGCTAGATATGCTGGAATTCTGAAATTGTCGGTCACACCCAGTCGATTTTAACCACAGCGATTTTCAGCTGCACCAGAAACTGGAGTGTAAAGTTCAATTTCTCTGCACAAACTTTACGACTTCATGTTGCTATTTTAGCTCAGAGATGGTCTTCTTCTGACATGACTATGGAAAGGGTACGTGTACATATCATGGCACCAGCCTCGTTCCACTCATTCCCGGGCAGGTGTTATTAGTGCAAATGCCAACGAATGGCACGGAGACTCCAGACTGCGATCCTTTGCCCAGATTGTAGGGAACAGATCTGTCTGTTGAAACAAAGAGACATAAATGCAGTCAAACTACTGTTTATTGCAGTAGTGAGCATTTATTACAAAAACACAATTTCTTTCAAATGAACTTTGGAGAAACTGACCAGATGTTGGTAAGTTTCATCCAGAGGCAAAACCCACTTCTGAGGGTCGTAGGACCACTAATCAAATGACAACGCCTTGTTCTCTCACCCTCAGGCCATCCAAGATGTAGATGAGTTTGTTTCTTGATCTGAACAGATTTGGAGAAATGTAGCATTACATCACTTGCTCACCAATGGATCCTCTGCAGTGAATGGGTGCCGTCAGAATGAGAGTCCAAACAGCTGATAAAAAACATCACAATAATCCACACAGCATATTTTTTAAACGGTGCTTGATCTGTGCATATTTCTCTCCTGATTCAGACAAGACAACTTTTATGGATAGAGGACTCATATTTTGGCCAAAAGTAACATTTAAAGTTAAAAACCTCTTAATGATGGAATTTTCTTTCTTACAAACATGCAGCTTTTCACTTCACAAGACATTAATTGATGGACTGGAGTGGTGTGGATTATTATGGTGTTTTTATCAGCTGTTTGGACTCTTCTTCTCATGGCACCCATTCACTGCAGAGGATCCATTGGTGAGCAAGTGATGAAATTCTAAACGTCTCCAATTCTTTTTTGTTGATAAACTCGTCTACATCTTGGATGGCCTGAGGGTGAGTATATTCTCAGCAAATTGTCTTTTTTGGGTGAACTATTCCTTTATGATATCAACGTTGAGTGATGAAATCAAACATTCCTATTACATCTCAACCAATTCAGTCATTTCCAAACCAAATCCATGGCCGAGCTCCAAGAGACTGGTTGAAAAAGACATTGATACAGAAAGTAAGAGCTGGCCTGATGCCCGCCAGACAATCTTGAATAAGATATGCATGTGGAGGTCAAAAGCCACGGGTCTGTGCACTAATAGAGCCGATCAGAGATGCCAGATGGGAGAAATCCCTAAAAGCAGCTGGACACAATCCCATGGGGAAGAAAACTGGGTTTTCCAGACAGATGTCTTTGTAAAAACGATTTTGCAACTACTGAAACCTTTGCGATAAATAGCATGACGGTTTAAACTAGAACAGAAAAGTTTGACTAATTTTGAAGTTGGCTTAAAAATCCTTGAAGTTTAAAAGGTTATTGAGGTAACTGTAATACTTTAAAATTTACTAAATATGATCAAACTGACTGAAAAAGGTCTTTGCTGTTTATCCTCAGTTTTATTTGACAAAAATAGGTTGTACAAAGCATATATATTTATATATTGCATTGCTGGGTTTTGTATACTGGAAACACTGGAAAAAGGCGGCAAAAAACGAACTTCATTCATCACAAGCACCGTATTCAAGCTGAGCATGTCGACCCGCTAAGTGCTTCAGGTGTGAGCGCAGATGGGAAGCAGCATCTGAATGAATGTGGCGAAACACAAAAAAGGCACAGGGATCCGAGACATCTTCCTTTCAAAGGGGTCCTGGCAGGATGTGTGCGGGCGCTAGCGTGTTTTTGTGAGACTCCTCAAAAGCTCCATTGTCATGCAAAATGAAAAACCGTCGAATTCAAAAAGATTCCGCCGGCGATGCAGTTAATGCGCCACGCATAAATAGACGTTTGAAACTTGGCAGAAGACAAAAGGACTAGCCAGTGCGGTCTGGAAAGGAAGGACTGCCACAGCATGGACAGAAAGAGGAGGCGGTTGTGTACTCGGCTTCAGGGTGTGTAGTTGGTTAACGCTGGTCGTAACCCTGAGACGAAAGGGTGCATTTGGGTGGAACGGACACTAAGGGGGGGAACAGGGGTCCAAGCCCCCCCTTCACCTAAATATTGGCGTGTGTCTGCCAGGCGGATGCGTGCAGCTGGGGTGCCTCCAGGAACACAAAGATCCTGCATTAGTTAACAATCAGCTTCCAATGGTTGCTCCCCATGGGGATCGTACCTCGAAGGTTTGGGCCAGAAGCGTCCTTTCCAACCGTCGACCTCCTCAGAATCTCTAATCACAACTAAATCAACGTTATTACACACTCCAGGAACCTCCGGCAAAGCACATCTTGTTTCTTATGCTCAGAAAAAATTAGGCCCTCCAGGCTCTATTCAAGCTGAGGTTTATTGCCCAACCAACACAGCAACTCCCATACCTTAAGAAATGCAAGAAATGTGTTGTTGTCGACTCTGACAGACAAGTCAAAGCAACATGTAGGTGAAAAGTGGCCACAAACAGACGCAATTCAGGCCATCTTTGACCACAGGCAGCTCAAAGTGCTGACGCCTAGGTGCGTCTGTGGTTTCTGGGTACAGGTACTTTCCTTTAGTCGAGTCGAGATGTGATCTGTCAGGAACGTTAATGGTTTTAATGGTTCCTCAGAGTCCTGTGGTGTAACTGGAGGGAGCCACCACACTATGGCATAAACAGCATTTAGACAGACCTGTGATGATTTATGAAATTATTACCTTTATTAAAATGTGTTACATAACTTTAGAAGTGACATGGTAACCCATACTCAGAATTTGTGCTCTGCATTTACGGAGCAGTGGCCAGACATTTTTAACTGCAGTGCCCAGGGAGCAACTGGGGGTTCAGTGCCTTGCTCAAGGGCACCTCAGTGGGTATTGAAGGTGGAAGGTCACTCCCCCACCTACAACTCCTGCCGGTACTGGAGACTTGAACCCACAATCTTCGGGTTACAAGCCCAGCTCTCTAGGCCACAACTACCCCCAACTGTATTGTTTGTATTGTTCTCCAATACAGACAAAAGCCTTGAAGTTAGACAGACAGACAGACATACAGACAGACAGATAGATAGATAGGGATGAGAGGATAAGTATATGAACAGTTTGTTGTATAGCAGTAAAAGAATGAAGAACTTTATCTGATCTGTATCTCTGTGGCCATAAACACTGACCCAAGTAACCCAGAATGTTCAAAAATGCTTAAATGTGTTCTTGCCAATGTTAATGGATGATGAGAACTCGGGGCAGGAAGCATAACTGACACGCTTTAACACGCGTTGCAGGTTCTCCTGGAGCGCACACATAAATCTTCCCTCAGTAAAATGCACATCACTCTGCATTAAACACAAAGAGATGGGAGCCTCCATCCGCCTTGCCAAAACATATCTTTGTCTAGACGCCATAAAACAAGCCAGTTATTTGTGAAAACAATAGTGCACAGAAATCTGAATAGTGCACTGAATAGTGCACAGAAATCTGAATAGAATAGAGGCAAGAGACTTCTGAGAGTGTTCCGCCAGAAACGGCCAGCGGAGAGAAACAGCGTTTTGCGGAAGGGGGGGAACGATAATCACCGTTTACACAATGGAGTAATTACACCAAACAGCAGTGGGGTGGCTGGGAGGGCCGGCGTGGACAGAAGCTTCGCTGACAGATCTAGCGGTGCTCTGATTAACAGTGAATGTTATTATGCGGCGGCAAGCTTTGATGCTCAGCCTTGTGCGGTCAACGGGCTCAGGTTGAGGCGTAGCATCGAATTTAAAACGTTTCTCGACTCACAGTAGTCAACAGAGAGAAAGGTTCTGAAAAGTTGCTAAATTCAAAATTGAAAACGTTTCTCGACTCGTAGTAGGTGAACAAAGGGAAAAAAAACGTGATGAGAATTGTTCAACAGAAGAATGTTGATATTTGCCATAGTTTGCGAAGATTTCCCAATGTGGGAAGTGGATTCTTCACCCCTTAGCTCAAATGGTGACAAAGATAGCAGCTTGACATGCCACAGATCTTATTCACAAGCATTCCAAGGACGCTTCACATGTTTGGATGCTTGAAATAGTTCCTCATCACCATAATGCCCCTTGTTTTTTTGGGATGAGTGGGATTCAGTGCTATTTCCTGGAGGAAAGAAAAAACAAGAAGGAATGAGAGTGAATCGTATCTCTAGGACGGGACAGAGCCGTAATTGGACCATTGTGTCATTCAGACAGGGTGGGGGCAGATGGTCTCTTCTCGAGTCTGCCCATCCCGATATGGGCCCGGTTGATAATTACGGGCCCCCTCAACTGAAAAGGCACTCGAAAAGTGACATCAGGATGAATAATACAACAAAAGGAAGTGAGGCGTCTGTCTGCGCCAGTCTCTAGGGTGTTGGGGTGTCAGCCTCTTCAACTCGCAAGGTTAATGAAGCAGCTGTGGGCAAGGACGTTCCTTAGCTTTTTGTGTGTAGCACCATATGATGTACATCTAACGTCATGTGGTTTGTTTCTGTTAGAAGCTCAATCATATCCTGTACCATATAAAAAAATTTTTTTTGATGAGCCAAAGATTTTATAGCAAACTTAACCCCAATTTTTGAAAAAGAAGTCACTTTTTAAAAGAAAAAATTAGAATAAATTGTCAGAATTAAATATTTGTAAAGAAAAATTTTTTTTAAGGTTGGAGCTGTGGCCTATAGGAAATGTCCTCGTAAAGGGACACGGTTCTTTCGCAAACCTTTCGCGTTCCCCAGAGAAACATTGTGTTTGCTTACAAAAAAGTTTGTGATGGAAATAATAGGAAGGACAAAACTATACTTCATTGATTTTGCGAACAAGTGCCAAGTTTGTTAGGGGAATGCAACAGTTTTCCAAAAGAATGCAAATGTTTTACAAGCGAACACAAAGTTTCTTGGAGAAACACAATACTTTCGAGTTAGAATGCTAAGAAGTTTTTTCAGGGGGAACACTGAACAGTTTTACGAAAGAATGCAAATGTTTTGCAAGTGAATGCAAAGTTTCTCAGGGCAACGCAATAGTTTTGTGCGAAAACGCAAATGTTTTGTGGGCGACCGCAACGTTAAAGGGTTACTCCACCCCAAAATGAAAATTTTGTCATTAATCACTTACCCCATGTCGTTCCAAACCCCGTAAAAGCTACGTTCGTCTTCGGAACACAATTTAAGATATTTTGGATGAAAACCGGGAGGCTTGTGACTGTCCGATTGACTGCCAAGTAAATTACACTGTCAAGGTCCAGAAAAGTATGAAAGACATCGTCAGAATAGTCCATCTGCCATCAGTGGTTCAACCGTAATGTTATGAAGCGTCGAGAATACTTTTTGTACGCGAAAAAAACAAAAATAACAACTTTATTCAACAATT